TCTCATCTTTTTAAGTGGGAGAACTTGCACAATTGGTGGCTGACTAAATATTTTTTTGCCCCACTGTATTCTTTTGTCCTTCCATTTTTATTTTTTACCTGTGTCTGATGTAGCCATTCACTACATTGATTTTTTTATTTCTGAATTATTTTCCCAACTCTCCCTAAAAGCTCTTTGAGTCCAGAATAAGGTTGGATTCACAGAATTAGAATGCTTAGAATGATACATTTTGAAATGATGTCTTGATGGTTTTCTAGATGTATAACTTCTATCCTGGTTTTGTTATCTTATTGCAGGATGATCTGGAAACTTGCTTTATCGTTGTTTCTCATGTCCACTCTGGTTCAAGTGATAGAACCCAGGAAAAATCGTCCTGCGGGAGCCATTCCTTCCCCTTACAAAGGCAGCAGAAGTAACAACTCTGAGCGGAGGCAACATCTGAACAAAGAAGTGCTGGCCTCCAGCCAGGAGGCCTTGGTGGTTACAGAGAGGAAATATCTGAAAAGTGACTGGTGCAAAACCCAACCCTTACGGCAGACTGTCAGTGAGGAGGGGTGCATTAGCCGCACAATTATCAACCGCTTCTGCTATGGCCAGTGCAACTCCTTCTATATCCCCCGGCATGTAAAAAAGGAGGAGGAATCTTTCCAATCATGTGCTTTTTGCAAGCCTCAGAAGGTCACCTCCTTCACAGTGGAGCTAGAGTGCCCTGAACTGGACCCACCTTTTCGACTTAAGAAGATCCAGAAAGTCAAGCAATGCCGATGTATGTCTGTGAACCTGAGCAGTTCAGGCAAACAACAAAAGTGAGGGCTGGTAGCTGACTCTTCCTAAACCCTTTCTTCAGATATGAAACTGGCTGGCTGTTTTTCCTTGACTCATTTTTGGAGCATTTCTAGAGCAGTGTTCTTTGCTTTGTTTGCCTACTGGAAATAAAGGCTGCTATGAGCTGATCAAATAAGAATACCATCCTTATTATTACCAAAACAGCTATTTCACCACTGGGCTTGCCACTAAGTGAGGAGCCATTGTCTGATGTGAGAGTGAACATTTTGGTGGCCAGTGATATAAATCCAATAATTAACTCTTCCTTCCACTGTGTGGAAATCCTTTTGGCTTTCACTTCACGCTTTTGGATGAATAATGGCTGAATGAAGTATTCATCATTTTCCTATTTCAGTCTCGGTTAACATTTTGCTTCATTTCTGATGCTTAATCCTGTCTTCCTTGGGATGGATACAGTTAGGAACAGCAAAGGGAAGCAGTGATCTGTCTGGCCTGATAGATAAGACTTGTGTGCCTTTTAAGCAGCCTTATCTTCCATGGATATATCAGCTTGCACTTTCCGATGAAGAGACTGAAGTGGATTTATACCCATTTTCAGCCATTGTCTCAAGTACAGAATTCTACAGCAATGCCTCACTTGTCATGTTACAGCAAATTGTTAAAGTTTTTATGATAGACATAAGCATGTATAATTTGTGAGATGACTAAGTATTTGAAGGGTTGAGATAAGTCTTAAACATGGGACCAGATTATCCTTTACAGCAGAGAGGGTTTTGCTAGTGTTAAATTTCCGTTGATTTAAACCTTCCTTCCCAAGAGTCATTCTTGTGCATTTATCCTCATCTATGTTGAATGACTACATTTGTGAAGGAAAACAATATTGTGTTTGACTTATTAAAACACTGTAGCACGAAGCAAGCAAAATAATGTCTTTTATCTTTAAATTAACTCCTGTTTCCTGTATACAAAATTGCATCTATGTAGGATAAAATTTAATGTATGAAGGGACTTGATAAACTCAATTAATACAAGGCTGCATGTTTGGTTTTTGCATGTTCCAAAAGTTACCATTTAGATTCCTTTGAAAATTTCTGGGTAACACTGATGGTGACCCATTGCATGGCTTGGAGTTTTGCATTTGTGATAGGTATAGCCAAAGTAATCAAATGTTCAAAGATGTTTTTTGCTACAAGTTTCCTCTGACATGATCAGAAAGGGTTAAACAAATATTTTCTTAAAGCTGCAAGTTGATGCCACCTCAAGGGCTCAGTGGCACAGTTCTCTATTATGCCAGACAGGTTCTTTTGAGAGGCTCTGAGTGACTGATCTCCATTAGGCTTGCCAATCGGTTTATGGGGATTGGCACAGGGAGTGGGGATTGCGTACGTATGGGGGCCTTAGAGTTCGGTCCCTCAACGTTACCCAAGAACAATATCATGTTTAGAAAAGTACAGTAAAGAAGGCTGAGGCTTGCTTTGGTGGTTTTAACGACCATAACTTATGATTTCTATCAGAGCTAATATTTAGGGAACTAGTTAGGACAGCTGTATTTTTATGTACAGGCTTGTTGCCCAGGACTGCTGCTTCTTGGAGAAAGAGAACATAACATTTGGTTCCTATTATTAGGGCTTGGTTAAAAAGAAACTGTTCAAGCAATAATGTAGGATGACTATTCAGAGACAGCTCTATATTAGCCTGTCACAAACAAACCAGATTTGCTACAATAGTGGAATACCGTTTGGTTTGGTTTATAAGAGTTGAGTTGACGTTGTAATAGTTCATACTATTTAAGTTTTGTTTTATAAATGAAAATGAAGTGGAATAAATGTTATAAATATAACATAATTATTTTTAGGTGTATTATTGTTAAATTATAGAATAAAGATACTCTAGAGATATATGGAATTCATGTATATTTGTTTCATGTATATATTCGTAGAGCTTAAGTTTAACCTTTGTTAGGAAACTTCCACTTAATTTAAATATAAAATAATTAAAATATCATAGAGCCACTATGGAATATTTCATATAAAAGCAACATATGCATAGCTGAAGATAACCAGTAAAAGCCAGCACTCTGGTATGTATGGAAAATGTGAATGTAATACACACACATTAGTTTCCAATTTTCTATTATATCAGTGACAGAGAACTTTTGACCCTCCAGCTTTATTGCATGTCAACTTCCATCAACCCCAAGGATATGACCGTAGTTGAACAGTATGTCAAGAATTAAAGGTTCCTTGCCAATGCAACTTATGTATATGTATAATATATATAACCTCAATTCTTCCAATAAACTGGGTTTATTGATTGATGTTTTGGAATGGATGAAAGTAAACTGAAGAGTATCATGATTGTTCTACTCCAAACGAGTAATTGTAAGTACACAGTCTTCAACATAACAAACATAACACCTAGTTAACTTTATTGTTCTCTTTTGGTAAGAAGCAGGAACTGTTTTCATTTGAAGATATTATGTTAAGGGAAACAAATGAAGGAATTCTTTCATTACGATAACTAAAAAAAATGGGCTACTGAATTTTCTTTCTTCTTTCTAGGATCCCAACTATGTTCCTCATTGCAATGTTCTATATTCTTTTTTAGTGAAATGTGTAGGACTAAGTATCAAAACAGTATTATCTTAAACATGATGTGGAACAATAAACAGGTACGTATCTGACAGATCTGTGTTTTGGGGTCAAAATTAAACATGTCCAAAAATATGAACAAGGATATTCTGCCAATAACAGCAAGAGTGCTCTAATTCAGCAAATCAATATTTTTCAGCTCCACAAAAAAGGAAGTCTTGCTAGGTACTCTTACATGAAGGTATAGGCACTTACATGAAGTTTTTCTTCTGTAGAAGCTCTGCTGGACTGGATCCAATTTTAGTTCTAGTGCTCCTCTAGTGATACACTGAAATCAGAGTGATTCACCTTAGATATAACCAGAGTCATCATCCAAATTAGGCAACAACCAGTCCTGATGTCAACAACTGGTTCCTTGTGGCTCCTCCTTCTCCAGCTTGGCAGAGTTGCTGGATTTTGCCCAGTGTGGAACTGGATTAGCCTAATTCCTGAGCTCTAACAGGCTGTTGTCAAGTGGTAATGGCTGTAGACAAGGCAGCCAGCAGAGTTATAAACAGGCCAGAGATTAGCAACCTGGGCTGAGTGTTGGGCATCATGAAGAGTTCTTCACTCAACCTGGCCTGCAAGAGCTGGACTGGCTAGACACATCCTTGGGCATAACTGCCTTAAACTCATTGATTGCAAGGATTTAAGCCTAGTTTGGTTAAATTTGAATCCAAACCACTTTATGTTCTTCCTAACCTGCTGCAAATCCCCTGTATTCACAGCATTATTCTTTGTAGCCACTACTACTTTTGAATTTGTGATCAAAAGTGTTGCAATGAATTATAAAGGAACTGCTATTGCTATCTTCTCCAACCTGACACCTTTCAATTGTGCTGCAACAGCAGCTTCTATGGTTTCCACACAATGGCCTTTGGAATGGGGATTGCATAAATCTATGTAGAAAGCTGGAGAAGTCTGAACTGCTGGCTGTAATGCTATTCAGTACTATTTAAAGCTTATAGACAAACCATTTATTCTCTTGCTAACTCAAAGCTCCTAGTACTTTTAAGACATTAGCCTGCCATCTGGTGGCAGATAGATTAATCTGTCAGCTACAAATGGTCATATTATTCACAGATAATATCAATGCGAAAATAAGTCAGCTTCTTGTCTTGGGTAGACTTTCAGTTCTACTGCCAGTCTTCTTCTATTGTAAGATGATCTTACTATATCCAACTTTTGAATTTTCAGTAGACAGTAATGATTTGGAATAAGAGCTGGAGACTAAGGGTTATTTGCAAACATAAGAATATAAATTATTGTCACTAGTTTGGGATGTATAAAACCATCTCTAATTAACTTTCCCCCCATTGTTCTGGGCTTCTCCTCCTGGCACCATACATTGCTGTGGTGAGGTAAGAAAGAAACATGATACAGTTAACCTTTAAAGTCAGTAGAAACCAACTAATACAACCAAAGCATGGATTGCATTCATTTGAAGAAAGGGCAGATGAATGTCATCTGATGCCACTTTTTAAAATAAGCCATGTCATACAGATCACTTACGACCAATCAACAAAAGCAGATGATGCTGTTTTGCATTGTAATGCTTGTTTAGAGGTTAGAAATGAATGGGGCTCCTTTTTTCTGGCAAGGTTCACATTACCTTAGTTAAATCCTACTGGCATCCATATTTCAGTAGTGGGTGGGACTAAAGCCAAAATGGATGCGATTCTTACAGTTGTCTGGAAACTGACAATGACAAAGTTGCTCCAGGCATTCTACTACCCCAGCTTGTGCAAGATTTTCTGCACCAGCTTTCAGTCTAGGAGATGGGATTACCGTATTTTTCAGTCAATAAGACGCCCCCATGTACAAGACCCCCACTTTTCCAACCCAAAATTAAGAAATCAA